GCCGTCCCGTTTAGACACAGTGGCAGACCAGCGAGTTGACCCAGTCAGCCTTACTCTGTTCATTAGTTGTTTGCTTTCTGTTTTATGGTATTTATGGAGTAGGGTTTTTAGTTTCAATGCTGCATGTAACAAGAAACCAAATGCGCGTTTTGTATAGTAACCTCATTTTAATAACCTTACGATGACACGAGTTTGTTCTTTTAGACATGTTTTATATTGAAAATCGTTCAAAAAAAGGTTCATACATATACTAATGTGTACTTTGACACTCGTATTTCAGTGTGTTTTATGTTCAACTTTTTTGTGTGGCAGAAACTGTAGCATATTCTCGCTGATAGCGATATCAACCTTGCGCCAATCAAGATACGCGATTCTCCAGAACTTTGCAAATTTCAATGGTTTTCAAGCTCTATTTAGCATTTGAAATCATGGAGATTTTTTGAGACTTTTTTGACTGTACCTTTGTATGACTTATTTTCTATAGATCTGACTTAACTAAACTTAAATAGCTCAAAGAACAGTTGTAAAAACAGCACTTTTTTGAACCGATCGTCATGTTATATAATTAATTAGAATTGAAACCGCGAATGTCAACTACAAAACAGGAATTTTCTCATACGTAAATCAAACATTACTTCAAAAAATTAAGAGAAATACAAAGAAAATCAATCAGACCGCAAATAACTTCGGAACTTCCCTTGTTAAGATGCAAAAAAGACATCTTTCTGGACCGGAAACTTACTACCAGGCATATCACCGGAAATAGCAGCCATTTTGTCAACAAACCACACGCGCAAAGCATAAAGGGATACTACTGATATCTCCTCTGCTTCTGGTTATGTAGTTCTGCTAGTACACAGTCTCCTGCTCGTTTAGGTAAAGCCAAATTACGGTGGGCCCCATAGATAATATAATTAAGAAATATAAAACGGCGCGCGTGTCTCTGTCCTCTGATATAAACACGGTGGGAGTTTGAAAAACACGAGAGAAGCAAGCTTAGGAACACGAGCGTAGCGAGTGTTTCTCTTGCTTCTGGAGTGTTTTTCAACTCCCACCGTGTTTATATCAGAGGACAGAGACACAAGCGGCCGTTTTATATTTCTTTTATAAATTTTTTCGACCGAAAAGAAAATTTTGCCGGTAAGCCGTGTCTCTGTCCTCTGATATAAACACGGTCGTCAGCCAATCAGAGCGCGCGTTATATATCAAAAATTTTATAAATAGCAATTAAAATCACATACAACTACTAATTTCTTGTTCTAAAAGCCCTTTGTTTTTTTAGTTTTGAAACTTCTAGTAGCGTCCGATGTTATCTATCAAAGAGGGTATCCAATGAGGTTACCCAAAATTCAGTTATCTACAAATTTTTGGGTCAAAAGTCAATTAACTAATGTTAGATAGGCATTAACTTTAGGTTTCTTGTATTAAATGCCATTGCATTATAAATTGCATTTATAATGCTAACATCACCAATAAACTGATTTGTGCAATGATTTTATGAGTGAGTTGTAATTAATACTTGCATGCATGCAGCAGTTCTGTAATCACAACTATTGTCAGACCTTGTCAGTGTTCTCTCTCGCATAGCGTATAAAAGGGATGACATCACACTCCCATCACACTTGCAAACTTCGAGCCGGGGATCCGGATTGATCAGGAGCGATAGCAGATATTTCTCTCACACGCTCATCCTCGCGGTCGCGATTCCCTCCCCCCCTCCTCCCCCTCTCCCCTTATCGCGGCTGTACACGCCCATACTCATCCCTTTTGAGCGCGAGAGAGACCGGTGAAAATAGGTCACTATCGCCATGTCTGGTCAACAAGTTCAGTACTCGTAATGTTGTAAGGATAACCTGGGTGCTCGTGAAACGTGAAATGTGCATCGGAGCTTTACTACTCAAACAGTGACCAGTTAAAAGACCCAACAACAACAACAACAACAACAACCTCCCTTAATACTACCGCCTTCGGAGGTCAGGGGGTCCTCCCCCAGGAAATATTGAAATAATAACTCTTGGAAATGCGATTTCCAGAGTTTTGACAGGCATCGGGGAGAGCATATGAATTAAAGGCATCAAATCCCGAAAATTGTAATATTTCCTTACCACTAGTACGCACGTGGGTATATGCGTAACGGGACTCTAAGCGCATGAATTGAATGTTAGTAAGAAAGTCAGTTAAATATACAATTTTCATTAGTCAGTTAACTACTATTTTTTGGCAAAAAGGCAGTTAACTATTAACCCCACTGACACTCTCATCAAAGGGATCGGGATTATATGTCTTATATTTTCCTCATGGGCGAATATAGCGACCTGTGAGCGAAAAAAAAATCGACAGAGAGGAAACTGGTACCGACTTAGGGAATCAGTCTAAGCACACCACGTATCTAATATTTTGATAATAAGTTATATAGCTACAAAATCTATTTCAATCATGTTTTCAAATTAACTAATCGTTTAAAATTGATATCGTAGCTATATGATATATGGAGTCTATACACCTTTTTAATAAGCCCCGAGGTATTGAGTTCTCCGCACTTGACGTCAAATCTATTCTTTTGAAATTTTTACAATACATATGAAAGGAATTCGAGTAAATTTGACGTCAAGTGCGGAGAACACAATACCTCGGGACTTATTAAAAGGGTGTATAATTCCACCGTCTTTAGTTTTTGTTGTTGTTGTTGTTTTTTTTTTTTCTTCCTCTTCTTCTTTATTTATATGTACCGCGGAATTTCCCACCACCTTGAAAAATTCCTCGGCTAGGGTAATTTATATGTACCTTTAATATAAACCAAGACTGCATGCCTAGAACACACATTGTGCACAAAAATATATTTTAATTTTTTTCATCCGCCAT